TTGTGTTTGCTTGCAAGCAGTTAATAATTTGTGATTTAGTTTTAGTACTGATTATGAGTATCTTGAAGCTGAGCAGTTTGTTCAGCTAGCAAGTCTTCAGTGCATGCTTGTCATTGGAAAGGAAAATCAGCCTCTATGTACTTAGCTGTAAATGATTTTTCTGTGACATATAGCTCCCTTCTAAGATTTAGAAAACATTTTGCTTTGGAATTTTAATAATAAAGAATTTAATTATCTCTTTTTTTATTTTTTTTTAATTTTTTTTCCATTTAAAAGCAGTGTGAAATTAGAATGCTCTCCCTGCACTGGCTTTTTTCAGGTGATATGTGTTTTCTTAGCAATTTGGAATCTGAGAAGAGATTCTTCCCAGTTGGAATTAGGATATTCATTGTTAGTCTTCTTAGGATTGACTCTGCAGTAAGGAAAGGGCTTTCATTGGAGTTCGGCACCTTAAATATAGAGAAACGCAGCAACTTTCATCATGATTCTAGGGAAAAGTCTTATTTGTTATCAGTGTTGGGGAAAATACTACATAGTCAATATTAACTTTACTGGTTAGATTCTTGATTGCTTTTCTTAATTACTTCCTAAATTTTATTACTTCTACATAAGTAGAATAGCACTTAGTCCTATCCTATAGGACTGAATAGCACTTGTAAGAGTGTGTGTGTGTTGTATTCTGGTGCTCTCCAAACACGCAAAGAAGTCCAGAAAGCAGATTTAATTTTCTTTCTATGGGGGACAATTATACAGTTATAATGGCCCTATTATATTTCTGCTGAAACAGAATGTGGGGTTTTATTTTGTACAAATATCCACGGAGCTCTTAAAATTTGATAAAAACAAGATAGAGGGAGGCGTGGATAAAGTACATAAGAAAAGTAATGTAATGCAGGCGGAAGAAAAGTTGTAAATGCTGAGAAAGGAATTTAATTAGCAATGCTTTAAGTAGAAAGATGACAAGCAGATGAGAGAACATGCAGGTGTGCGGTTCTGTTAAAGGAAAAGGGAGGGTGGCAGCAGGATGGGTCATAGGATAGTGTGAAAAAAGAGGCTTGGGAAAAAATCTTGTGGTTCAGGAATTATAGAGAGGGTCCTCTAAAGATGGAGGAGGTTGTCTGCCCAATCACAGGGCCTCCCTTGAGATGTTTATCAGTTCTTTCAGGCTGGAAGCTTCATCTGTTTATTCTCTGCGCATTGGTTTCCCCAAGGCGCAAAAGGAAAGAACAGATGGTTACCTTATCAATCTGTCTGCACAGTGCATCATAAAGGAGTAAATAGCTAGTTTAGATTTTTCCTGAATGCTTTTCAGCTGCCTGTTTGTATCTCTCTCATCCCCCCGGAACATTTTACTCCTGTTATAATCAGCTTTCCCGCCTCTCTTTTCATTTTTAGGTACACTTATTTTAGAAAAGCTACTTTCTTGGTGATATCTAATGAGATGCTAACTATATATATATATATATATATATATATATGTATGTATGTATGTATGTATATTTTTTTTTCTCCCTAGTTTAGTTACCAACTGACATATAGCTGATTCCAAGTGGCTGGGGGAGCTCTTATTTTTTTTCTCATACTGTAGAATCAGAGAATCACCGTCATAGGAAAAGATCTCTGATATCATCCAGTCCAACCATCCACCTACCACCACTATTTCCCCACTGAACCATGTTCTTCAGTACAACATCTAAATGTTTCTTGAACACCTCCAGGGTGACTCCACCACCTCCTTGGGCAGCCCATTCCAGTGCCTGACCACTCTTGGAGAAGAAATTTTTCCTAATGTCCAACCTGAATTTCACCTGTTGCAAATTAAAGCCATTCCCTTTTGTCCTTTCACTAGTTACACAGAAGAGCTCAATGCCTGCCTCACTACAACCTCCTTTCAGGCAACTGTTGAGAGCGAGAGTGGTAAGGTCTCCCCTGAGCCTCCTCTTCTCCAGACTAAGCGATCCCAGTTCACAGAATCACAGAATTGTAGGGGTTGGAAGGGACCTCCAGAGATCATCGAGTCCAGCCCCCCTGCCAAAGCAGGTTCCCTACAGCAGGTCGCACAGGTAGGCATCCAGGCAGGTCTTGAACATCTCCAGAGGAGACTCCACCACCTCCCTGGGCAGCCTGTTCCAGTGCTCCATCACCTCACTGTACAGAAGTTCTTCGCACGTTTGTGTGGAGCTTCCTATGCTGCAGTTTCCGGCCGTTTCCCCTTGTCCTGTTTCCACTCACCACTGAAAAGAGTCCGTCCTCGCCATTCTGCCCCCCACACCATAGATACTTACAGACCTGGATCAGGTCCCCTCCCAGTCTTCTTTTCTCAAGGCTGAACAGACCCAGTTCACTCAGCCTTTCCTCATAGGAGAGATGCTCCAGGCCCTTCACTATCTTTGTGGCCCTCTGCCGGAGGAGGGATCTCTTGGTCTCATGAGGATCTCTTCCAAGAGATTCCTGTCTTTTTTGTACTGGGGAGCCCAGAGCTGGATGCAGTTCTCTCAGCCACTCCTCATAAGGCCTGTGCTCCAGACCCTTCACCAGCTTTGTTGCCCTTCTCTGCACATGCTCTAGATCCTCAATGTCTTTCTTGTAGTGAGGGGCCCAAAACTGAACACAGTGCTTGAGGTGCAGCCTCACAAGTGCTGGGTACAGGGGAGTGATCACCTTCCTATTCCTGTTGGCTGCACTCTTTCTGATACAAGCCAGTATGCCAATGGTTTTTTTGGCTGCTTGGGCACACTGTTGGCTCATGTTCAGCTGAGTGTTGACTGGTACCTCCCAGTGCATTTTTACCACACAGTCTTCCAGCTGCTCTGCCCCAAGCCTGTAGCATTGCCTGGGGTTGTTGTGGCCAAAGTGCAGGACCCAGCACTTGATCGTGTTGAACTTCATCCTGCTGACTTCAGCCCAGCGATACAGCCTGGTCCAATCCCTCTGAAGGGCTTTCCTACCCCTAGGCAGATCATTGTTTCCCCCTGAAATTGGTATCTTCTGTAGACTTATTGAGGATGTACTCAATGCCTTCATCCAGGTCATCAGCGAAAATATTGATCAGGGCAGGCTCCAGCACTGACCCCTGGGGAACGCAACTCGTGACAAGTCATCAGCTGCATTTAGCTCCATTCACCACAACTCTCTGGGCCCAGCCATCCAACCAGTTCTTTACCCAGCAAAGCGTGTACCAAGGCACAGGCTGCCACCTTCTCCATGAGAGCACTGTGGGGGACAGTGTCAAAGGCTTTGCTGAAGTCAACAGCCTTTCCCTCATCCACCAAGCGAGTCACTCAGTCAGAAAAGGAGATGAGGTTGGTTGAGCAAGACCTGACTTTCATGAACCTGTGCTGCCTGGGCCTAATTCCCTAGTTGTCCCACACATGCTGCGTGATCTCTTTCAAGACAATCTGCTCCATAACCTTTCCTGGCACTGAGGTCAGGCTGATGGGCCTGTATTTCCTTGGGTTTTCCTCATGACTATCTTACCCAATAGCATGCTGGCACGGTGTCTTTAAATTTTTTCTTTTACTTTGGGGTACGGTTTTGCTTAGTATAAAATCAACAAGGTTGGAAAAGATGCCAATTTATGAACTACTGCTGCAAATGCCTGTTGTCTCTCAGATTAAAAAACATAAATTGAAATGAGGAATTCTCTCTAAGACTGTAGCATGTAGTTCTGAATGGAGTCAAACACAGGAGATGTGTAATGTATGCAAACTGCAGGGACCTTATGAGTTTTCTAGGGTTTGTCAGGGAAAAATATTGTTATTTAGGACCATTTTTATAAAGCATTGTTATTTTCCCTAATAATTTGATGGCATATTGCTATTGCATTTCTGAGTGATACTTTGTCTTTAGAACAAAGAGCACAATGTCGTGGGGTACCAATTTGCTCTCTGTTCTATAGGCTGATGAAACTGGGCACAGGTAGTGGATATTGGGGATGGGTGTTGAGAAAAAGAAAAAAACTCAGAAAACCCACAACCATGTTTGATAAGAGTAATTGATGGGAGCATGCTGTAAACAGTCAGGAAGGCCTTTGCAAAAGTTGGCTGCAGCCTGGTCACGGATGTCTTAGTGTTGGTAGCTCTCTAAAACTGATGGGACTTCAATTAAGATAATCTTGGAAGAACTCACACATCTTACTTTTGAATTACTGCAGTTTGTATTAGATTTTGAAAGTGCTCAGATTATTATTTATTTTTTTCTTTTAAGTAAAACTTTCCAATAAAGTTAGTTAGTTAGTAAGCTACTCAGTAAAGCTTCCATCATTGCAATAGCATTATTTGGAGTTTATCCTGAATTTTTTTAATGGAAGTGATTGGTTAGTTTCTTCTGTTTGTTTTTTGTTGCTTTCTGTTGCTTGTAAGTATGTCTTCAGAATTTAAATCTATAAATGTTAAAAAGAAAGAAAGAAACTTCACTGCTCAGTGTTTCTGATGTTTTGTACGTACCTTCTATTTTTAAGAGGAGACAGATTCAGAATGTTTTAATACAAAAAATCTTAGGCCTCAGCCTGCCCCGTTGTAAGAATTCTCATTCTGTAGGAGTTTCTTCACAAGGAACTTTTTTCTTTTGCCAACACAAAAGAGAAACAGAAAATAAAATACTGAGCAGGGATGCTATGGTTTCTGCTAACCTGCTTTTGTTTATTTTTCAATAATTGATCACTTAAAAAAAAAATAAGTAAACCTTGTTTATTGTATAGAGTAGTATGAATTTCTTATTTTATATGTTTTCAGGAATATCAAAGCTGTGCATGGAACTGAGTGCTTCTAGGAGTTACATCTTTGCATCTGTAGCTTCTGGGAGAGTCTTGCTTACGATTCGCTGTCTTAAGCAGTGTTTGACCAATGGATCATAGCTTAACTTCTAAGGTGATGAGGGTTAGAGTACTAGGGAGAGTAAGGTAGCGTGTTTTCTCACAATGGTAGGAGTATATTAATGTATTTTGCATGTTCTTGCACTGAGGAACAGAATGCCTTCAATGTGATTTGTTTTATTTATAGAAAATGGAATAATCAAATCAGACAAGGTATTTGAAGTAATGCTGGCTACAGACCGTTGCCACTATGCAAAATACAACCCTTATATGGATTCTCCTCAATCTATAGGTAAGTCAGTTTCTATGAACTGCTCTGTCCTAATTTGTGTAATGGTGACTGCCTTTGTAATAGATGTGCAAACTTATTTCGAACCATCTTAGTTCTTTTTCAGTTTATTCAATCTCTTTTAACTATGCGTTTTGAATTTATGGGACACAATTGGCATTCTTAAATACATCCATAGATTGTTATTGGCCAGTATTAATGTGTAAGTATATATTTTTTTAATGCTACAACAATCTGTAGTGATGGAGCTGATATTTAAATATTTATAAACCACTTGTATCCAATTTACTTCAGAAACAGTCTCTCTCTTTACAGAAATGGTTCATGAGAGATCAGTACAATGCTCTTCATCTTACATGAGATGTTTTTTTATACGAAAATAGGCTTTAAATGGGAGAATCTGTTGATGGTTGTAGGACACTTAACTTCTCGTCCAGATCTTAGTTTTATCATTCCAAGGCAGGAGAATTAATTAAACTTATGTGCTTCCTTTTTTCTTTTCTTGATTATTATTTTTTTTTCCTCTCCTTTCCCTTCCATGCTGGATGGTGAGCATTATGAATAGTAATTGGATTTGGTTTGTGTAGGGACATTAAAAAAATAAAATGTTCTAAGGTATGTACTCAAAAATTTATGTATTTCTAAAGGAACAAATATAACTCTGTATTCCTAGGTTTATGTGCTGTCTGGGTGAAAAAAGACGTCAGTCTTCAGAGGGTCCCCATCACGTAAACTCACTAACAAATCTGGGTTCTTATGTATGGTCCATGAAGGAGGGGGGAAAAAAAAAAAAAAGAAATTAGGTTATTCTGGGAAACACAGCTCATCTGAATTCAACGTATGTGATAAAGCCAAGGAGATAGAGTCACAAAATAGAAATTATAACTGAGGTCGAGTATAGAACTGTGTTTTTTCCTGTTCAGAGTTAAGGAGGCATAGCTTACAGATGATGTACTTAACTCACTTCTGAAGTAGAGTACTTACATAACCATTAGCGTGTGACTGATGTCCTGAATGAGGCTAACAGTGAAGATATTGCATTTTACAGTCAATAACAATGGTCTGAACAACAATCAAATCTTCTGCTTTCTTGTTTTACAGGCTTCCAAGCAACAATCAGTGCTCCACATATGGTAAGTTTTAAACTTGTGTAGATGATTTTATGATGATACAAACGTTCCCAAAATAAAAATATTTATCACAACAAATTTAACCAGGAATTGATGGCAGTAATGTGGTTGTGAATTACCTAATAGGAGGGTGCAGAGAAGGTTGAGCCAGATTTTTTCTGCAGATGCACAGTGATAGGATGTGGGGCAGTGGACAAACAATGCAACGTAGGAAATTGTGATTAAATTCTATTGTGAGGAAATCATACTGGATGTAGTCAAGCACTGGAACGTTTCTGTTCTGCGGTGGAATGACTGCATCTGTTGACAAGGGAAGACTTAATGATGTGATCTACCTGGACTGCTGCAAGGCCTTTGGCGTGGTCCCATACCGTGTGATTATCTCCAAATTGAAGAGGGATGGATTTGAATTGTGGACTTTACAGTGGATAAAGAATTGATTGGATGGTTGCAGCCAGAAAGCAGTGACTCCAGGTGGAGTCCAAGTGGAGACAAGTGATGAGTAGTGTCCCTCAGGGGAGTAAGCTGTAGAAGTGTGATAATGACTATCTGTAAAACATTAAAAAAACTAGAATTAGAATGATTCAGTGAGGAGGGCCTTACAAAGATCATCTATTCCGACTGCCCAAAAGCAGTTAAACTTTTGGCTATTATCTAAATAGTATCTCTTGAATACTGACAGACAAGGGGTATCAACCACCTCTCTAGGAAGCCTGTTCTAGTGTTTGACTACCTTCATGGTGCAGAAATTTTTTTGGAACCTCTCCTGGTGCAATTTTGTGTTCTTTCTATGGGTTCTATCGCTAATTACCAGGAAGAGAAAAGACTAGCACTTCCCTCTCACCTTCTCTGCAAGAACCTGCAGAGCGTAATGAGGTCGCCTCTTGACCTCCTTTTCTCCAGATTGGACAACTCAAATGTCCTTCTTTAGCCTCTCCCCACAGGACATGCTTTCTGGCCCTGTTACCAGCTTTGTTCCCCTCTTGTGGGTGATGTCAGGTATCTTAACTTACTTTTTATATTGTGGAGGCCAGAACTGCACACAATACTCAAGAGGAGGCAGCACTACCTCTTTTAGCAGTTTGGCTATCCTGTGTTTAATGCACCCCAAATTGAGGTTTGCTGTCTTGTCTGCCAGAGCTCTCTGCTGGCTCATACTGAGCCTGTTGTCACCAGTATCCTCAGATCCCTTTCTGCTGAGCTCCTCTCCAGCCACTCGTCTCCCAGTCTACACCTTTTATTTTACATTACCCCGTTGCAACTGTAGCACTTGTCATTTTTGTTTAATGAAATTCATGCTGTTACTGATCACCCAGTGCTCCATCTACCTAGATCCTTTTGCAAGGCCTTTCATCCCCTTGAGAGCATCAGCAGCAGTTCCCAGTTCAGTGTCACCAAATAACATGCAGAGGATGTGCACCATTCCTGCATCCAGACCGTTTATGTATTGAACAGAACCAGGTTCAGAATTGATCCCTGGGGAATGCTGCTAGTGACAGACTACTAGCTAGATGTCGCCCTGAACGCTACAACCCTTTGAGCTCTACTGTTAAGCCAGTTCATTAACCAGCATAGCATGAACTTTTTTATCTCACAGCTGGACATTTTGTCCAGAAAGATGCTGTGAGGAATGGTATCAAAATCCAAAAAGACTGTCCACTGTCTTGCCATCATCCACCAGGCAGGTGACCTTATCAAAGAAAGATCAGATTACTAAGGGAGGACTTTTCTCTGCATGAACCCGTGTTGACTTTGCCTGATAACTGCACTGTTCTTCAACTGCATTTCAGTATTTCCCAGGGTCATTTTTTCCATAACTATTCCAGAGGATGAGGTTAAACTAACAACCCTGTTAGTCTCAATAATGAATTGATTGGCATATGACAAGTTTATTTTGCGTACTGGTCAACTGTGTAAGAAAACAAAGCAGCTCATGATGTAGACTATTGAATTTTCATATGTGAATGTTTTGGATATCAGGCTTTGTAAAAGCCACCTTCTTTTTTCCTTGAATAATTGTGTGCAGGCAGTATTAACTACAATGTAATTTTTCTTTGATCCTATGAAACTAGCTTCTGTCTCAGCGTATTCTGGTGTGTATAGTGTAAAGATAAGACATTCTCTTTGGCTAATATTCACTGGAAAACTGAGAACCACCAGACCTGAATAGAATTAAATTTATTCAATTGTTTCTCTCCACAAACAAGAAAAGTTTTCTTGAAGTAAAAGAAGCAACAGTGATTATATCATATAGCTAACTCCACTCACTACCTGTGGAGTTCGTATGCTGTTTTTATGCAATGAAAACACAATTCTGAAATTTTTTAGGCTAATCTTCTGTGCATTGCCTCAAAACACTGAAGCAATGAAGATGTGTAGGATCAAATAAGAATGATAATACTTTGAAATTTTGTCTCCTTCCCCTAGCATGCATATGCTCTCGAACTTCTGTCCGATCAATTACATGAAGGAGCCAAAGCTCTTGATGTGGGATCTGGAAGTGGAATCCTTACAGCATGCTTTTCACGGATGGTGAGAAATCTGGTTTAATTGTTGGTTCATCAAAACTGTTTGAACTGCAGCATAACTGAATTAAAGACAAGGGTAAAAGTGGGCTTCTTACAGTGGGCTGAAGTAGATTACACAGAAAATGAGTTACTGTCCTGTGTGTGGCTAGTATGCACTTCTAATTGTATTGATACTTGAGGCTTGGGTCCAGTAAATCCTTTGGTGATGAAGAAACTGCCTCAATGGGAAGTTTTTTCTTGACTTAATGGTTGCTGTATAACTTGAAGCAAGGAGGTATTTGTTATTTTTTATCTTTTTTATCTTAACTTGTGTGGCTGTGAATGTGCTCATTGTGATAATCATATTTCTTTTTCTACTGTGATGAGAGCTTAATGAGACCTGAAAGAATCCTATTTCCACAGGTTAATCTATGTGTATAAATAGTTTTTGACATTAGTTTCATTTTTTTCCGTTTATTTTATTGTGGAAGTACAAGAATCTATTTAATCACTTTTAAAATTAGTACTAATTTATATTCTTTTTACATCTTTTCCTAGTAACTTCATATCAGATTATTCAGCCTATGCTTAAGAAATTCTCAGCGAGTCTATCCTATTTTGCATCAAGAGAAAAAAAGATGAGAAATTTTGTTTTATGATGACTGTAACTACAGTTTTTCCTGACTGATTTTTCTGGTGGAATATGATCAATTCTTCCTTCTCTGTTATAGGACTTAGCTTTACAACTAGCAGAGGACTTCACTAAACTGCCAAGCTGGGGCTTTTTTTTCTTTTTCTGAAGTTAATTTGGAATATGGTGATGCAGATGACAAATTCTCATTTGTTCTTTTACTACTTAAATTTTACTATTTTCAAGCATTGATCTGTTGAATCTTCATGTCCCTTATTAAGAGCTAGATAAGAATATTTAGGATTCAGTAATACATTAGTGAAAGTCTGTGTGCAGTTTTTCAAGAATGCTAACTGCCACGTTAAAAAAGTAAATTAAAAAAAAGTGAAATAAGTTCATCAAACTGCTGTCTGCAGGAAATATTAAATGCCATTTCTTTAACTTACTGTTTTTAGTCCAACTCTATAGTCGGTCTAGCTTAGATAATCAAATGCAACAAGTGCTAGTAGCATGCATAAGGAATTTGAGTCCTACAAGTGTTGAAGTTTTCATCAAAGATGTGTGTTTATTCGTTAGAAATGTTGAATGTATAAAACGCCGTGTTAGGTAAGATGTTTGTGGCACGTGGTTGTGCGCTTTTTTTCTTTTAAAACAATTGCATGAGAAAAGCTGAGGAAAACGTGCAAGGGGAAAAAAAAAGTCAGAATTATCGCAAAAAGGAAATCAATTCTGCTAAGGTTAACCACACTATTTATCACTGTGTGACTGTCATGTTCCTCTTCGGAATTCCACCAGAATTTCTTTCTTGGTGGTGTTGTGGAATGCCTTGCAAACACACGTTTTGTGGAGCATATTAAACAAATGCATTTTTCCGTTCGATAGCATTATTACTGTGTAATACAGATCTCACTTCAACCACTTGAATGGACGTAGATAAGAGTACATACTGCTCCAATTCAGTTTTCTTCTTGTATAAAAATTCTTTCTAACACACTACCATCGTTCCAGGTGATGTACTTTCAAGCTTCAGTTAGCCTTTTCCTATCAGAATTCAGTTGGAGGTATGCTTACTGGCCATACTTCCCAGTCTGCTTGAGATCTAGAAGGAACATCTGGTATTTGTGGCATAAGCTGCTGAGTGCACATTGATGTCATGGCAGCTTTACTCCTGCGAGAGTAGTCTCTCTTGTAGCATTCCTACAGGGCATTTTATTTACTTTAGTGTGGATTTCTGTGACATTACCCTGAAGGGCCTGTACCGTATATTTTGCCGGCTTTTGGTACGTTCCTGCAAACAGCAGCCTCTAGCTGTTATAGTGAAAACTTGCCATGTGTCTTGTTCTGTTTCACGTGCTAGGCCAGTCTTGTTCCAACTGAAATAGAAGAGGTAGTACCGCTCTTTCTGTGTTTTTAAAGTAGGACTTGCTCATGAGGGAACATAAAAGCTGATTATTACTGTGGTGGGAGTTTTCTTAAATTTTCATGTCTTAGAAAGAGTAAAATAAAAGATACAGAAGTGTTACTGACATATTCAAACGTGGCCATTATAAGGCAGAGTTGTGTGACAACATGGGCTTCCAGAACGTATTTTGCTATTGAGTTCTTTGAAATGGATCCTGCAAAAGGTTTTCTTATTCTATGGTTTGGATTATTTTTCTCCTCTCTCCAAGACTGAAATATTTTTTCTGGAATAAAGGCACAATTCCAGAACGGAAGCTATTTTATTTATTTTTTTTTTTTTAGGATTATACTCTTTAAAAGTATGTTAATTTTGGAGACCTGTTTCCCCTGAAAATACACAGATCTTTTATGACCACCTGTGAGTTACAAGCTCTCAAAAGTTCTGCTCTCCTAGTGGAAGAGAGCTGTAAATATGAAATCACAGAATGTCCTGGGTTGAAAAGGACCATGATGATCATCGAGTTTCAACCCCCTGCTGTGTGCAGGGTCGCCAACCACCAGACCAGGCTGCCCAGAGCCACATCCAGCCTGGCCTTGAATGCCTCCAGGGATGGGGCATCCACAGCCTCCTTGGGCAACCTGTTCCAGTGCATCACCACCCTCTGAGTGAAAAACTTCCTAATATCTAACCTAAACCTCCCTGTCTCAGTTTAAAACCATTCCCCCTTGTCCTGTCACTATCCAACCTCGTAAATTCATGAATGCTCACGAATGCAAGAGGTTAGATGGAAGTTGTCCCTGTTAACTGTTAAATTTGACTCTAAAAGATTAGAACCCTTGAGATAACTTAGAACAAAATATGTGACTAAACTGTTTTCTCTGAAATAAGGTTTTTCTCTTTAGAAAAAAAAAAAAACAAATAAACAATTCACAATGTAATTTTTAAGGAAGTTTACTTGGAATGGAATGACATTAGTTCCAGTTTTTGTTCTTGAAGTCCTTGCCTCTTATTGAATGTAATACATTTACTCATTGTATAATTTGACTTCCAAAAATTCAGAGGAGAAATCCCCACTAATATTTTAAATTGACTGAATCGATTCTTAAAAAGTTTGCTGTAACAAACATAAGTGTTAGCTGGCAAGCTTTAGTTAGTGGTTGCTTGTAGCAGTCAGAATGTGTAATTTTAAGCAGTGTTATTAATAGCATTGGTAAGGTACTACCACTTTGTTGATTTGTTTTTGTACTAGAGAAATGGGCTGAAGAGATGGAAATTCTGATTCTATAAGTAAACCGTAATTAGCAGAATTTATTCAACTGTATATTTTTATTTCAGGTTGGTCCCAAAGGACAAGTTGTAGGAATTGATCATATCAAAGAACTAGTAGATGACTCAATAAATAATGTCAAAAAAGACGATCCCACATTGCTGTCTTCAGGAAGAGTGAAACTGATTGGTGAGCATCAGACTCTGATATACTTATTACTTAAACTGGTATTCTTTCTAACAGCTGGTTGAAAGTGACTAGAATTTGAACGTGAGTAAAAATTCTGATATAAGAAGTTAAACCAAAGGAAGAAGGGCCAATTAACTAAAGAAGGAAGAGCCAATTCTTTTGGCCTTTGAAAAACACCATCTTTGCACCCTTTTGAGAATATGGCTTCTGGCAATCTTAAGGAATATGTACTCATTTTATTATGAAAGCTGAACATGCAAGCGTTTTCTGATGAAAATACTTTTCATGCTAAAGCACTGTCATGTTAGTTTGCTTTTTAAAATTGGGCTTCATTGCACAGCTTTAAATGTGCTGTCATCTAAATTTGAACACTTTAACAGAGCATTCATACTTCTGATATAGTAATTGAGAAAGCTGCAAGCAGAGGGTTGAGTGGAAAAAATACTAGATTGGTAATATGCTTCACTGAAGCTTCTCAGTTGTTTTTAAAATTAACGGTGTTTCTGTTTTAGGGAAGTGATTAATGGATGCAAACTAGTTTAAATGAGAGTTGCTAGTTGAAATAATGCTGAAATTATGCAAGGAGAGAATTGTTATTTGTGTTACGTGACTAAAGGGGAAAAGATACCTGTTTTTCTCAGTAAAGTCGAAGCTGGCAGGAGGAAAGCATTTCCTTTGTTATCATCATTCCCTTTGTTAAGTTTAAAAAAAGTTGAAGATCTGGGTTATTTTGGGGCCATTCTTTTGAAAGTGCTTGGAAATATTATTATGGCTTGTGATGTTTAGCTCTTACCTTAGTTTCTTCCAGTTTGGTTCCTGGATTTTTTTTTAACTTTATTTTTCCTTAAATGATGTTCTTCTAAATCTTTCTGGAATAAGCACATCAACACATGTACTTGGACACTATCTTATACAATTTTACATCACTGTGAACACTTATGACTTCTTTTTGAAGAAATTTAAGGTGTAACTGAGACTGAGAATTGAGAGAGGAGGTAAGGGGATAACTTCTATTGGTGCTGTACAAGAGCAAATTGACTCCAGTTTCCAGTTATACCTGAGACAAACTTTGATGCTCTCCGGAATCTGGAGTTCTAAGTAAATGTCATCACCAATATTATGTTTGACTGTGTAGCAGCATAACTAAGAGACTTCTGACTAGTTCTGTTGTGAGATGCATTAAATACAGGGGGAGGAGTAGCAGGAATGTGAACTAGATGGAGAATAATAATGCTTCAGTTGTGCTGGACTCCTGGGAATATTATGATGTGGAGCTAGAATCAAGATAGAGCTGTTTAAAACGAACAAACAAAAAAACTTGAAAAGGCAGTTATTTGGTGGTAGGAACTGCATGAATTAAACCAAATGAAGCCAGTGGTTAGTCTTTGACGGGTATGTCTGAAACATTCCCCATTGTTTTGTTGCACCACAGATTTACTGTAGTGACATTTCAGAAGCACCAGTGTTATTTTTCAGTGCAACTGCACTGTAAACTGGGGAATAGGTATCCTTAGGCTATGTCTGTGTTAGTTTGTGGAGTGTAGGTTGGATTTTGTTTTGGTTCAGGAGATTGCCTTTTGAGGTGAATCTCTCAACCATTCCCATGAAAGCATACATGGAGAGCACAGACTTTGATTCATTGTGGATGAAACTACACTGGGTGATGTGCTCTGAGAATATGGTCACATAAAGATAACAAGTAAGACTAGGACCGGACCAAAGCAGTCATTCTGAAATGCGTATGTTGCACAGACATTAAGTCCTGAGCACAAATTGTTTTGCTGTATGGATTTACTGCTCTTGTGCTTCACTGTTTGCTGATGCAGAAGTGAGATTCCTCTAAGCACAGTGAAGTAATTTTCTTCTGTTTTGTACTCATGCTGCAGTTCTCTGTGAACCAGGTTTGTGTAGAGACACTGAAGGCTCGAGTACTGTTACAAGCAGATCAGATCTAGGTTCAGAAAGAAGGTACAAAACCTTTTCATGGGAGAAATAATGATTTCCCCTCCGTCCTGTCCCAGTGATTATTTAGTTCATTGGCATGCTGCATGTTAAGGCAAATTTGAGTAGGATTTTTCAAGCTGTGAATGCAAGCTCATAATTTGAACCATTTCCTCTTGGAAATTGAATAAAGTAACAATTTGGGTCACAATGAATGTATGAATGCTGGCTTGGAAAAAAAAAAAATTAGTTGTCCTTTGAATATCTGAAAGTGTGTTCACATAGGAGTTGGACTCGATGATCCTTATGCATCCCTTCGCTCCCTTGGGGTATTCTATGATTGCGAGTAGTGATGTGCCTGGAGATGGTAATTTTGGTTTGGGCTATTGATTTTAAGAGGAAATTCTGTGGATGTTTTACTTCTTTCTACTGCTGTCAGTGATACAGTGTGCAGAGATCATTTTCACAGACTTTTCTAGGCAGGACACCAAGTGTGTTTAAGTCTCAGAGTATGTACATTCTTCTTCAGAAGGCAATTTAGCCAGTGATGACTTTAATTGCTGGTAGTACCAGGGCTTCTACGTGGCACCTGCTGATGAATCTAAGGGAACGCAGGTCTCCCTGCTTCTCTAGCATCCTTCAAACCAGTATCTGCTTGTCTGAGCTGAAAAAGTCTTTCTCCCTTGCATTCTCTGATTGGAACAGAGTCAACACAGTAACATGTCACTACTCGTTAGAGGAGGTGTACTGTGCTACTAGGATGTAAGTGAATGTAATTGGTACTGTTAGCTGCACTGAGGCTGTTGTTTTTGTTATAAGCCACTTTGGCAGGATCAGAGAGATTAGGTCCTGAAATTACTGGAGCTTTCATCTTCGTTACAAGTAACAGTAATGGAAGATGGTGAAATCACAGAATGGACAGGGTTGGAAGGGACCTCAAGGATCATGAATCTTCAAACCTCCTGCCACATGCAGGGCCACCAACCTTACATTTAATATTAGACCAGGCTGCCCAGGGCCCCATCCAATCTGGCCTTGATCACCTCTAGGGATGGGGCATCAACAACCTCTCTGGGCAGCCTGTTTCAGCACCTCACCACTCTCTTTGTAGAGAACTTCCTGACATCCAACCTAAATCTTCCCTCCCTCAACTTAAAACTATTTCCCCTTATTCTGCAGTTGTCAACCCTTTCAAAGAGTTGATTCCCCTCCTGTTTGTAGGCTCCCTTTAGGTACTGAAGTGCTGCAATGAGGTCACCCCACAGCCTTCTTTTCTCCAGGCTGAACAAGCCCAGCTTGTGTTCCTAGTGAAAAGGGTGATAGCCATGAGTTCTCTTGAATCGTTGGTGGTTTCTGCTTGGAAGCCTCCAAACTGTGAAGAAAGGGGCTTGTGCTGCTCAGAACTTGTGATGTGTGGAAAGAAAGCACTTTAAAGGGCACCTCGGCAACCGGGGAAACATGCAGTATTATTGTCTGTAAGCTTTGGATGTAAAGCATACATGCAGGGTCTTGCTTCAGGACCTAATATGAAAGACAACAAATCTCTGGTTTTAACTATTACAAAATGCTGTCCAGATCTTCCTGCCATGGTCACCATGTAATTATTCTCTTGTGATTTGATGGAAGGCAAAAAGTCAAGTTTCCAGCTCCTGGCCAGAGGTGCAGAACTTCCTTTGATTCATTCAGCCTTTTTATTAATCTCTAATGATAGTAGCTGCCTTTCAGAAGTCAAAGCTCAGTACTAAGACAGCAAACCCCAAGCTACTTGTGCTGAGCAGAGAAATATCTTTATTATCCTTCTTGCTTTTTCTTCTTGAACTGATAACTAAAACTTTTGCACTCACTGAATATGAATTTATGAATGGTTTAGTATCACTTGCTTATTTTTTTTCCTGAAGAACTCCAGAGATAACATTGTGTAAAGCCTAACATGAACTGAACTTACTTTTGGTTTGATCTAAATACCGTGGATACAGTATTCACTTAATTTTTCAAACCTTAATTCAGATTCCAGGCTGTCTTGTAACACACAGTCAGTGATTAAAGACATTCCTGTTAACTTCATTTTCCTTTGAATTCTGTGCTAGTTTGGGCACATTATAGTGACTGACTATCAGACTTGGCTGGCTGTGCCACTCACCTGCTCTTTCATTCCCTCTTCACAACAGGACAGGTGGAAAAAAATAAGATGACAAATCTCACAGATCAAGCTAAAGATAGAGATCAGTGACTGATTGCTGTGACTGGCAAAGCAAACTACTTGGGGAAAAGTATTGTATTGCCAATTAAAAATAGAATAGGACAGTAAAAAGTAAGCTATAACACCTTTCCCTTCCCAGCATTTGCTACCAAAATGTTGGCATGTAAACCCAACACACAGATTTATGTCAGATTAACATAACTAAGGTCTTTGGAAGTTTTATTGGCTGTATTTCAAAGGAGCCTACAGTTTCAGCATTTGAAAGTTCATAGAGGAAGAATCAAAGTGACTTCTTTTGCCTGATTCTGTTTGTTCCAGGCTTATTTCTGACAAGTAGATTTCTGTAGAACTTGCCAGAGGTTACAATTATTTTATACAGTCTTGGGCTCTGATTTTTTTTCTCCTAAATAATCGCTTCCATTCTGCTCTTTTGAGAATAGTGAGAGTATGGCAAGCTGCTTTATCTGTATAGGTACTAATATTTGTCTCACACATGAGTAACTGTGAATAATTTATATTTATTTTTTGAATTTTGAATGCAATAATTAGTTTTGTTCTACAGATTTTAATGTTTTATCCAATCCATCACAGGCCTGTTGGTCTCTCTGGTGTGGGCCTTCTGTGATGGCATGCTAAAAGAAGGAATAGGCTTACTGTGAGAATTAGCACATACAGCACATGAGCAGATTTTCTGTGGCTTTCTGCTTTATATATTTATGGCAGGTACTTAATGTGACCAAAGCAGAGATCATTGAACTTTGAACAATGAGTTTTCTTTTTCAGTTTGAGCTCAGATGTAACTCTGGCCTAGGTGATGTAAAAACTTGTATCTTTCAACCTTCAGAATGGCTGTTTACATATAGGTCTTTAGATGATGATACATCTTTACTTTAAATGAGGTTGTCAGCTGAAGCAGTAGAAAGTGGGTGAAAAGGTTTCACTGCTTCCATATTTGGTTTACAGACTAATGAAGAGATTGAGACTAACTCGTTTGGTCCGTGCAAACCACTTGTTTTATGGCACTGTGAAGACAAATTCTGTAATGATGCTTACAAACATGACTTTGTCCTGTGCATGTATGTCTTCAGAAGTGAGATACCCGTCTGTTGTAGTGTGTGTGCCTGTCCAGCACAAAGTGCTGCTCTTCTGTGTCCCATTTCCTTCCAGATTAATTATTGCAGAATGCTCAGTGGGGTGGTATGAAACATCTGTACTGGGATGCTTCTCCATGAGCTGAAACTGCTTCTGTATCCTTTTGAGTAACATGGTCTTCCAACTGGCAGAGCAGTTATAGGTGTATAGTCCATGTGAATACCTAGTTTGTCCTTTCCTTGTCTTAGGAGCCTTACACGTACTTCTGAGACTTAATGGCTGAAGCTTGTGATCTGCTTTATACTTAAGGACAGCATAAGCAAAAATAAGGCGAAGCATATTTTCTCCGAGGGTAAATGAAGGGAAAGTCACATCTGTTGGAATGATAGGACACAAATCTGCTTAGGTATCTTTTCTGGATGGACAACGTGTCACCAAGAGCTTTCAGAATGATTCAGTGCTTTCTGATTTCTTGTGTTATGCTACTTATTGTGTGTGTGTGTGGTTTTTGTTGCATTTACTTTATAGCTATGTTAATATTCTTATATTGACTTCATATTACTTTGACTAAGCAGATTTTGAGTTGGAAAACCTTTGAGAAGGTTAAAAAAAAAAGTGTTTTCTTGCAGTGGGAGATGGAAGAATGGGATATGCAGAAGAAGCTCCCTATGATGCAATTCATGTAGGAGCTGCAGCACCAGTTGTGCCCCAAGCAGTAAGCCATTTATGTTTTTGTGTGTGTTATTCATTAATCTCTTAGCTGTAAAAACCATTTTATATACTTAAATATGTAAAATACTTCAGAGAGTTGCACTGCTGGGCAGTATCAGTGGGTAGGATGCTGTTAGAGCATGGTCTGTATTGGATTTCTGGTTGGTTTGCTAAAGGCTGCGTGTTCTAATAACTTTCCTGTAGACATGTTTTAAATTGTCAGGTGTAGAAATCAGTGCTACAGCAATGGAATATTTTCCTTAATAAATTGTTTTTGTCATAATTGAATGACAAAATTTAAATATTTGTTTCCCAGGTTCTGAGACATTGGGCCAAAAATAATGTGCTCAGCTGGAAATATAGAGCGCATATATTTTTACTTACCAGCTTCTGGGAGCTACTGATCAGCTGTAATTAACCACCACCTTAATTATAAAAACAAAAAGAGGTTTCCAGGCAATTCTCTCACATTCTGTGTTTCTTATCACTTATCTTAACATTCATATAGAATAGTTTCATTAAGTGTTGTTCCATTAACAGAATAAAAGAAAAGCTTTTAGGTAACCCATGTGTTTGACAATTTGAAATTATTCAAGAAAGACAATGTCACAGATGTCAAATTGTATTCTAAGGGCACAAGAGTCATTTATCCCACAAAATATTAGACAGTGGGCCTGTACCTATAAGTAATAAGTATCAAACTTTTATATCTGGCAGTTTAAAAAGAATTTACTGTTTTTAAAAAAATAATATATATGTATAATAACAATTAATGGTTTTGATGTGTTTCCCATCTTGTATAGAAACTAAAACTGCATCTGACGCAACCCAATTTTTTTACCTTATTTTGGAATTACATGAAATTACTGTGAATGTGTTTTGCAATGTTGATTTTTGCCATGTTGTCATGTTTCTCATTTTCAGTGTTTTATTGTTAATTGAAGTAGTTATCTACTGCATAATAGCAGATAAACAATATGGCAAAGCTGCTCATGTAATGTTATCAATGTTGGATCCAGCTTCTCTCAGTGGCTGGTTACATTCTAATTTCTGTTGTGTTCTAGCTTATAGATCAGTTAAAACCTGGCGGAAGATTGATATTACCAGTTGGTCCTGCAGGGGGAAACCAGATGCTTGAACAGTATGACAAACTAGAAGATGGCAGTGTCAAAATGAAGCCTCTGATGGGAGTGATATATGTGCCTTTAACAGATAAAGAGAAGCAGTGGTCCAGGTGGAAGTGATTTTCTGTTCCACTTACTTCTTCCACATACACGCAAGGTGAAAGGGTGTGAATTTTAAGCAGATAGACTGCAAGGCCTGCGTTTGCTGCTGTCATTGCTTTCTGCTGCTCCATACCATGAAAAGTGACTCAGTTTGCATTACTACGTCAGCAAGAGGAGGTTATGCAAAGTTTAAGTTAAATTAAAAGCAGAAAAAAATATTGCATGAGTTGCACTTTGTCTCTTTTGGACTCATGTTTTCTTCAGTTTTGGTGTGTTGAAGTTACTTTTTTCTTTTTAGTTTTTTAAAATAGAATATTCTCTACGTTAAAACTTCTTTTAATGAACTCTTTATAAGCAACTTGCCAAATAGGGTGAAGTGTGAAATACTACTGAAAAATAAATATAGTGTAAGTTAGTGGTAATTAGCTGTTCATTTTTTTTATTTTCCTGAAATGTCACAAGTTAAGAGAAAGCTCTATAAAATCCTTAGGGGGCAACATAGATTATCTTCTTAACTCCTTTTTCTCAGCCTCTAAGCAGCAGAAAGTGAAGAAGCTAATCCCCTCTTTTGTGTAGCATAAGTGTATTTGAGTAGCGTTCAGAACACTTTCTCAGACTTGTTAATAAGTCTGTCACCTGTCTCTGGGGATATGTTTGAGTTCTACAATGCAGCAAGCTCTCAAGGCCTTTCTAGAAATAGTAGACCTTCCAATGAGTTGAGCTGAATGAGCAGAAACACAGCATAGCACAGCTGCCAGCTTAAACTACTCTATTTGTATGACACTGAACAAAGCAGCAGTCCTGTTTTGCTTCCTGCCAGAAAACATTTGTGAATGTGTTATCTGTTTTAATGAAGTGCACAGATCTGTACTGAGCTCTGGAAACAGCTTTTGAGCTTTATATTTCTTGCATATTATTTTTTTTCTAGATATTCTGTGGTATAGCTTATGATTTGGATACACAAACACTTCAACTTTCAGATATCAAAATGTCCATAAGAAAGTACAAATAAAGCAGTTAGTATTACTGCTGCCTGCTGAAACTTCATTGTAGTGTTTGTTGGATGGCTGTATAGTGGCTGTGTACAAATCAGTGTTAGAACATGAGTTCTAAATGAGCTTAGATCAGATATTGCAAAACATACTTACTATTCAGATTTTCTGTATGTTATGCAAATTAATACTTTATCCTTGAACCTTAGCAGTGTTCTGTCAGCATAGTATTTGAGGATTTCTTGCCACTATGTAAGGATTTGAAAGTCTCATTTTGTGATTACTTTCCTTCTCTGTCAAATGTGACCGACTTTATTCAAATACGGAGTTTAGGCTTTGAAAAAGAATATTCTTCTTGAGCTATCTTTTTTTCCAGAGAGTTTTAAAGCACATTTTTCTGCTTTTCCATCTGACCTTATGATAGTAGCAGTTGTTTTTCCTAGCACCAATGAGTATTTTTATAAATAGTGTTTCTTGAAGGATTTCTGGAAGCATGGCTATCCCACGCTGCTAATGAGGGTGTAGTATATTTAGGATCTTAGAATTCTAAAGTCTTCATGACTCAAGTGCACAGTTCTGTACTCTGCTTTCTCTATTAGTGCAAGAAGAGGTAATGAGTTGTTTTGGATTTCATTCAGTCCTGTGTACTGGTTCTTTTGTTGTTTGTTTGATTTCAATCTTTTCCCCACAGATTTTTTTAAAAAGTCTTTGATCTGTTCTGAAATACTTCATGATTTATTTTATTGTGTTAAAAACATATTGGTGTTATCAGAACAGATAAGCTTAGCCTGAAGTATGACCTTACAGTGGCATAAAGGCTTTTCTTCTGATGTATGTTTAATCTGCTTCAGACTTGGAAATCTCTGTGAAAAGACATCTCTGAAGTCCAGTTATTACAATATCTCCTTTCTTAAATTGTCCTTTGATCTGAAGAAAACTGCCATTCCCTTCCTGAGGAGCTGCTGTATGGTGGACTTTAAAGGAGGTGGTTACCTGTCTTTTTGGTTTTTTTTGATACTTTTCCTGATTGGTTAGACCAAAGTGCTGGTCAGCCATCTGCTGCTAAGGAATCTCCTAATAATAATTCAGTATTTGCTATCTATGCTACCATCAAAGAAAAAAGAGGTGTGGTGTTTTTTGTTTTGTTTTGGTTTTTTTTTTCCTGAGCTTCTTAGATTTCAGTTTATCTTTCCTAAATTGTTGAAGACCTGTGAGTGGAGATCAGTGAAAGACTCATTTACTCTTCTGAAAGAGCTTAATTAGATCTCTCTGTAATAAAGAGCTGTAGTATAAGAGAGGCTCCTGCAGCTGTAGATCCCAAATTAATTGGATTTGAATGGTTTTTGTGTGTGTGTGTATATATATATATATATTTCTTATATATTACAAAAGAAATATATATATATATATATTTTTTTTTTAAGAGGACTTCAAGAATCCTTTATCCTTAGCTCAGTTCTCTTAGGTAACATCACATCAAGTGCTTTCATTCCTAAAGCAGGGAGCTGCTTCATCGTGTTCAGAATTGGTGTTCTTTCACAAAACAGTCGTAGCATGATAGCTTCTTATTCATACAGTTGAGGCCAAGATCAATTGATGCTGTTTTGCAATGTGTATTTCAGTCTGCTAGCTAATTGCATTAGGTGAAAAGCTGTAAATGTTTTTCTTTAACATTTCTGTAAACACAGATAATAATGCACACATGAGCTCAGTTTCTCATAACTGTAAAAAATAAGCACTGCATGATTTTAACACACAGATGATGGATTGTTTTGGGCTGGCATGCTATTGTTGGATTCAGAAGTAGTGAAGCCTGGGTGAAAAGTCCTTTGAGGGAGGCCAATCCCCTTACTACCAGTGTATGTTTGAACAGAGTATGAAAATCTGTATTTTGAAAGTGACATCTAAGATGTACTTCTTTTTTGTTGGGAACACCTTAAAGCAATGGGAGATTGGTTAATACACTGGCATGCCAATATAGCTCATTTGAATTCTAAGTACAAATACCATTTTGTAAAAGAGAAAACCCTCAAATACATTAAGTTAGCTGGCAAAAACTTTGCCAAAATTTGTATATGAGTAATGTGCCATCTTTAATACTTCCAGAGCAAGTATAGGGTTTCTCTTTGGCTTTCAATTTTTTGAGGGTCTAGCTTGGGTGTGGAGGATCCAGAAGTGTTTGGCGCAGTAAAAGACCTGGATTTTGCAAAGCTGTGAGAGTAGGATTCAGGATGCAAATCACAGCAGCTATGAGACATGTTGAGATTAAACCAGCAGTAACAGTAGTCATTATTTACATATTTTTTGATGTAAATATCAACAGGTGGCACAGCTCCTGGAAGCATTAGGGAAGAATGGAGTAATTGGCTAAGAGTCACCTGCACTGCATTTTAATCTCTGTATCAGAGGTTCATTTATTTCATCTGTTTAAAGCAAATACCTACTCCGTGAAACATGCAAATACAGAGACCTTCCAAACATTTGGCTGTAAACAGGTTTTTATCTTGCTGCTGCCAAGATTTGTCCTCCCTTTTGCTTTTTTCTGCTTTTTCAATTCTTGTGACACTCTGAAGCTGTATTATCAGTACCTATGCTATAGAAGGCAGTGCAAAGTGCAAAGAATGCAAATATTTTTCTAACAAATCGTAAGATTTGTATTCCAGCTGCATTAGATAGAACTGGTTGCAGAAGCCTTATCAGTTGCTTTTAAAATGATGTGCATGTTGCCATTCCACGCTCTGGTTTGTGAACAGTAACGCCTTTGTAACTTCAAAGCTTTTGCTTGTGTGCACGTAGCACTATATTTTTTTGTGGGTTAGTTTGCATGATAGATGGAAATACTGGTGTGTACTGAGCCAGCAATCACATTAGTGAGGTTTTTGTTAACTCGAACATTAGCTATGGCTAATGAGAGCAATGCACTTACTAAAAGAAAGTGCAGTAAGCCCAGTTTATAGATTGCTTGTGCCTTGTGGATGAAAGAGGGAAAAAGCAAACACTTCTGATTAAGTTTTCCAGTGTTCGTAGTGCCAATGCACTGCTTTCAGATTCGATGAGCATCTGGCATTAAAATTAATGCTTTGGAAATATTTAAACAAATCACCAATATGAGATAATTTCACTGTTGGAATATGGGTTCTATGGATTCCCTGTTTCAGTGTGTTTTGCAGGATGCGTAGACATGAAAGCCTGCATTTTCCTGTGTCATCACAGTGATTTAGAGACTTCTTGAAGCATCCTTTCTCCTCCTTGAATTTACTTCTGATGTAACAACTCCCTTTCTAAATCGCACACTATGATTTAGTGTTTCAGGAGCTAATACAGTTCCTCTGAGAAAGAAATAAAATAGTTGATGTAGACTTTATGATGTTGATGTGAGGTTGATGGAGTGGATCTTTTGAGGTCCTTTCCAATCCCTGACATTCTGAATTCCCAGCTTTCTTAAGAGACTGTAACTGCAGTTAAGCTTGTCTCTTTGGTAGCTACAATGAATGGTTTTTGCCAGCACTGTCTAGTAACCTGGCTCTGTTTCTTGCCAGTATGGAGCGAGTGGAGGTTGGATGACAGCCAGCTATGTAACTTTAAAAAAAATTACTGATTTTGGTGGTGTGGCAGACGTTCACTTGAGTAAATGATCTATTTGAAGTAGAGAAGGGACTTGTATTTCACAATAGGTCACACAATTGAGACAGTATGAGATTGCTGTTGCCTTTCCTTTTTGACTAAATGCTTGAAGAGATTTCTGAAATTTTGCCAATTTGTTTGAGCCTTTAAATGTATTCTGATACAGGAGCAAGACTTTTCAAATCTAATTTCCAGAGAGATTAGAAGTATAACTACTGTGTGTGTTTTCTTTCTGCAGGGATGAATTGTAAAAGCTACATCATCTTGACCCAAACATAGTGTTACAGTGGACTGCTCATCTCCAGTTCTAAAAGCTTTTTGAAAACCAACAGCATTGCAGCTTGTTTTGGACTTCGTTATACTGTTGTTATCAGCATGGAAAAGCGTGGTGTTTGTTTTATTTTTTTAGATGCTCGAGGCAAATCTGATAAAGACATGGTAAAAAGTTTTATGTTGGCACTGTTTTATTTAACATGCCTTTATTTTACTCTCATCTGTTTGAAGTGAATTTCTGCAGATGAACTGTGGATGAAGATCTATAGCTTGTGAACTCTAATTTTGATGGGGGTACTTGAACACTCTCACTTCTCTTGGCTCCCGTGTCCCTTGGTAAAACTGCTTCTGTGCACCTTATGACACTACATAGGCAATACCAGGTTTTCTGTGTTCCAGTGTCTGCTAGATGCTACTAAAAGGAAATGAACTTTTTTTTTAAGCTTTTGACATGGTGTCATAGACTAGCATGTAGTAGATACAATCAGCTGCTTTATTACCTTAAAATCAGGCATTTGTATATATTGAATTTAAAAACATTGAAGTTGGCTGCTCTTACTAAACATTGCTGTTTGAGTTGGACATAAAAGACGTGGTTTTCCCTTTCTTTCTAAAATTAGTTAATGAAAACCTGAAACTCTGTTTTGGTTTACAGCTCACTGCTGTTACAGTTAACATAGATTTACCTCCAAAAATACATGAGAGCTGCATCCCAGTCACTGGGATAATAAGGCTAAAAACAAGAGGGAGTTTGTGCTTGTGTGGAGGACTATGGTCAGTATGTGGCAGACATACAGATCTTTGCATTATTTAAAAATAGGAAACAGATCAATATCTAGTCTGGTTCAAAGTGAAAGTTGCTTTTGACAAGGCCACGTGCTGAATTAATGTGCTCTTTTTTTTCTGACTCTGGAAAAATTCCATTCTTTTGAAAAGCAAACTGTTGTTATGCAAGGAAAACATGTGTGATACATGTAGAATGGGTAGAGAATCCCGGACTCTTACCTACAGTTGTTCAACTTTCATGTAGAAGAATCATTGGAAGGCTATAATTTTTTTTTTTTTTTTTTTCTGCCCCAAGTTTTCTGTTTTAGTATAGGAAAATGCAAAGCAGTACAGCAAATTGAGCTGCTTTGGAAAAGTGGAGAAGTATGTCTGATTCTTCTTGCTCAGATTGGAGCAACTGGGAAATATTGTAGGCAGCATGTTGTTGTTTTCTTTTTAATGATAAAAAGGATTATAGAATAAAATAACCAGTATAAACACAGCCATCGTGATCACTGTAAAATGCATTTGGATGTCTGTGGCAGAACAGCTATGTTTTGTGATAGGATTAATCACTGAAGCACAAAGGCTAAAAAAGGCCTCTGGATCTGAAAGAGGTAACATTTTAAATAACCTTCCCTGTGAAGGTCGGCACAGTCCCATTCCTGTGTGAAAGTGATGTATCAATTCACATAGATGTTTGGAAGTCAGTGTACCACCTCCCAATCTGGCCACAGTCTGGGAGCACACAGACTGATCTTATAAAGGAATTACTACAGCGTGTATTCTAGAAAACACAGTTCAGAAAAACCCATCTGCGTCTGAATTTGTACTAACCCACAATCAACTGTGAATCTAGTTGTTGGTGTTGAAGTGAACTATCTTAAATGATGCATGCTCATGTTCAGCCTTTTGGTCACTGTATCATTCAGTTTGAGTTCAGCTTTATTTACATCATCTCACTAATTAGTCAAAGGAAAGATAAGAACTCAACTGTCTCCAAATTTTTGTCTCTGGACACAGTAACAAGCTAGCCTAAGGCAGGAGAGGTGATGGAGCTGAGACCTGGCAACAGCTCTGTGAGGAGAACACTTCAGGGACCAAGGCTGCGACAAGGCACCCGTTCTGCAGAAGGAATTGATGGCAGTCGGGGTGCTTGGGCAGGGTGGAGCATGCAGGGGCAGCGTTAGGAACTGGGGAATGAAGACCCCTCCGTGGTGGAGCAATGGTTCTGAAGTACAAGCTTCATGGAGAAGAGGACAAGTTGATGTGCAGAAGAGTTGAAGGGCTTGAATAAATGCTGTGTGAAATGTCTGAATTGCTACTTTGCCAAATAAATTGAGAGGAAGCTGTATTTAGATGTCCGGGTTTATTTATTTCTAAAATCTTTGCCTTCACAAGACTTCGCACATCCAATAAGAAAGCAAGCCTGTATAAGAAATGCTAAATGACCAGAATTGTGTCCATTTTTAGTTAATGTGCTGCAGCACATGGCAGCAGTTAGCAAGTCTGGTGTGTAAATGCATTTATATGATGCTTATTGGAGTTTCTTACAGTGGACACCAGCGTGTTCGGGGAGCACATGAATGGGTTTTCACCAAGCCTGTTAGTTCTGTATGTGTGCAGTGTTGTTCCTCTATGGCTGAGGGCAGCTGCCTGGTCTAGTTGTAGGGTTCTGGGCTTTCCTTTCTAACTACAGTGCTGCTGTGTAGTTATGGACATCGCTGATCCATTGCAGTTGTGGGGAACAGCATGGCTGAAGAAAGTTGTTCTGAATTTAATGTCAGTGCCATCTCCTCTGTGCATTAGGAACTGGAAGGTATGCAAAACTATGTTAAAATTTCGTGCTCTATCATCTTTAAAATGGGTTTACATGCTTTGAAACCTGTAAAAGGTTATTTCTGCCATGGCTTTCTGTGGTGGCTCAGTGCTTCAGGCTTCTCTATGCTCCAGAGGTCCAGAGTAGCATTTGGTGCCCTGACGGTGTTTCTGCTGTATTGCACGTGTACTCATAGCTCTATGTTCTTGTGTCCTACCTGAGCTAACTAGCAGCTGAAAAATACATGGTAAAGGTAATTCTACACATTTCCCCCTCCCCCAAATATTCCCTGTTTACACATACTTTTGCCTTTTCTTACTCTGGCCAAACTGTTTTGTGGGCTCTATTTTTCAGAGTAATCCCAATGTATTAATTGCCTCTGTGATCTGTCAGCTCTCTTTGAATCTTTTCTAGCTTTTTCCCATTGCTTGTACTATTTCAGCTTTTGCCACTAGAAAGCAAAATAATCAGTTTCCAACATGGGGAGGCCATTGTATTGTGCTGTGTTTGTGCTGCCCTGTTCCCTGCCAGCCACCCACCAGTTTGCAGTTTGGACTGGAACTTTATGCTTTATTTAGGGTTTTAAAAACAAGTGGAGCATCATGCTGACCTGTTTCAGCCCTCTAGTTTTGCAAATGTGCTTCTGGAACTGCTCTTCCCTAATGTTGCAAGACCATGGAAGGTGTGGGGCCTTCAGGCCAAGACTGTTCAGAATGGGACTGCATAGAAAAATGGGATTCCGAATTGCAGATACAGTTCAGGTAGGCACTGCCTGATACTTGGAAACAGATTGTACACTTATGTGTATGTAAGTGTCTGAAAGGCAAAACAATTCAAAATAAAGCAATCTAACCAAAATGTGTACCTTGCTCAGCATTAAAACACCAATGAAACATTTTGATGACCTCTCCTAATACTCAGAGAAGTAGCATCCATTGGTGTATGCTGTCAGAACAGTCTGTGTTCTCTGTTTCTCTGGCGAAGGGACACTGGTGCTGGAAGGCAGCTGGGCTGGGTGGTCTGCAGTCAGCCCTAGGAGCTGCAAGGAGGGCTGCAGGAGCCGGTGGACGGGGCTCCTTGCATGCTCCAGAGCACGGCTTCCTAATGTGCTCAGGTGTGCTTCTGCTCAGTGATTTGGTGTCACTCATTTTAAGGCAAATAACTTGTAGAAAGTGAACATTACTGAGTTTTGTACAAATTGCAGGAGTTGAGCTGGCTTTGTCTTGCTCTTCATCTGGCTGAGGATGCCCATGCTTTCTGGTGAAGCGCAAGTTTTTTCTTAATTTCAGACTAGCTGAGGAGTTTCCAGGTACCTTAGTGCATTGGTCTGCATAGCAGCAAATCCCACCACTGCCTCTTAGAAGTCTCTGGGCAGACAACTGCAACACATTGGTAGCTGCTGCCAAGTGCTGCACTGCTTTTCTTGCTGCTGTGGAGAGATGGTGAAGAAGGATTTGCTGTTTCACTGAACTGCAAACAAAGCCAAACAATGATTTTTTTTCAGTGATGGGGAAATGCACCCTAAGCAGGTGGGTAGCGCATCTTTTCTGGCTGGCTGTATTTATAATGCGATCTTCTGGGTCTTGCACAATTTGCCATGCCTGCTGTAGAAAGAGAAGCTGTGCTCCCAGGTTAGAAATGGATGATAGCATCAGAGACTCCTGGATGCCATCAATTGCTGCAGTCTGAACAATCAGACTCTTCCTCACTCAGCAGGAGGGCCCTGGGAAGCAGTGCTGGCAGCCCAACCTCCACAGCTGCTGTGCTGCATGGCTCAAGTCTTGCTCTTGATGCCAACAATGGATAAAGAGGGGAGGTCTGTCTCTCCTTCTCAGCCTTCCTGCAACAAAATGTCCCTACGTTCTCCCCACCGCATATCCCAGCTTCTAAGGCCATTTCATAGAGGCTTTTCATGCTTGTGTCTGCTCACTGTATCGTACTTTGAGCTCTCCTTTTCCAGTGAGAGGAAGTTAAGAACATTTAGCTGGTATCTGAAGATAAATGCAGTGCAAGAAATGTATGAATAAAATAGGTTTATTAGAGCTATTTTCCATAAAGTAATCAGGACTGAGCAACTCAAAGAACTATTTGTATACATGGTAATATTCTTGTATTCTTGTAGACTTGAAGATGCTGAAGTAAAAAGACGACATACAAAAAGATGCATGCCTCGTCTTGCCTCCATTTCTATTGGGACCCATGATGAATGCAACATCCTTGGACAGTCAAACAAAGTAGACAGCACAGTGTCTATATTTATATATATGTATATATAACATGTACTGTACACAATTTACTGTTTACACGTCTGAAATTCACTCACACATATCGATTACTTGCTCTAATTCTATGAGAATTTTGCTGGGATGGGGACACATTGCTGAAGCCTTCAAGCTTTGGAGGGAGCTAAGAATTAACCAGCACGAATCCCTTGCTGTGGGGGAAGCACGGCCGGGTTTTAATCGCTCTGCCAGAAGCGTCAGTCTCACTGACTGTGCCCATCTGCCTAGAATTAACTTTGGTTTTTACCCACCAGAGTACCAACACTGCTAAACAGTCTGTATAGCAAGGCTGGGGCTGGTGCCCTGAAGAACAACCACTGGCAAGTGCTCTTTCACAGGGTGGAGCACACTGAGCTGTGGGTACTAAAGGCTGAAGCCTGCTGTATGAGGAGAGATGTAGCTCTGGGATCACATACCACAGCTGTCAGGCACTGGTAAGTCCCAACTTTGAGTGCTTGCTTTTTTCATTTTAGCATTTAGTAAGCATGACTTTGTTAGCTGCTCAGAGGTTTAAACTATGAATGAAAAATGTGTTCCATTCCTTAAATCCCAAATGTTAATATAAATGCTGGTGCTTAGATGGCAATTGCTTTTTGTTAACAAAGCAAAACAAATTTTTTTTTTAGTTATAACATTCCAAGTGTCCGAGGTGGGAAAGTGCATGGATCCATCTCTGCTGGATGGTACACTCATGTTGGTCTACAGCATCCCTGTAACCACTGC